GTCTCACTCTTGCTCAGGATGGTCTCAAACTCCTGAGCTCAAACGATCTGCCCACCTCGGCCTCCCAGAGTGCTAGGATTACAGGCATGAGCCACCACGCCTGGCCGAGAACTCTTTATTCTGGATACAAATCCTTTATCAGATATATGATTTGCGAATATTTTCTCCCAGTCTGTGGCCGCCCCTTCTGAGTCTCAGTTGTTGGTTCCTCTTCCCCAACCTCTTTGCATCTGAGGGCCACATCTGTCTTTTCTGTCTACACTCACTCCCTCGGTGACCTCACCTAGCCTCGTGGTTTTAAAAACCATCTCTAAAGTTGAGACTCTCAAAATGACCTTTCTTTCTTGGACTTACATATCTGACTGACTACCCAGCACCCCCACTTAGACGTCTCATAGAAACAGGCACCTGAAATTCCCAGTGCTAATCCCCGGTCTTCCTGCCCCCAGGCTGGCGCTGCAGCTGTCTTCTGGAGCAACCACGGCCCCCTCTTTCCAGTTGCGTAACCCAACAAACTTGGAGTCGGACTGACTGTTCTGTCTCTCCCGTGCCCCGTCAAACCCACTAGCAGATCCTGCACACTCCCTCTTGGAGACACGGCCAGAATTTTCTCACCTCCGAGCCACCACCGTCTCTCACCTGGATGCATCTCATGGCCTCCCAACTGGTCTCTCGTGGTCCATTTTCTACTCAGTAGCCAGAATGATCCTGTTACAGGGTCGCTCCTGTGGCCTCTCCTGTGCTCCCCGCTCCAGCCACTCTGCCCTCCCCCTGTCCCTGGGGGGCGCCAGGCCTTGGCATTGGCTGCTTCCTGTGCCTGAAGTTTTGTGCTGTCAGGTGTCAGCATGGCTGGCTCTCAGTTTTGTCTGGTTGATGTCACCTCTCCCTGAGACCATCCTTGGCCATCCTTAATAGCACCGCAGTCTCCTTTAATCCCCTGCGCCCCAGTCCAGGCTTTTTCTCTTAGCACTTATCACTGTGTGACGTGCTATGTACTTTACTTACTGTCTCATTTTCTGTCTCCACTACGGGAATGAAAGCGCCACGAAGGGGGAGCTTTTATGTGTTTTGTCCATGACTTGTCTTAGCCCAAGTTCTCCTGAGAGCTGATCTGAGACAAATGCTTTGGATAGGCAATTTATTTAAGAAGTGATTCCAGGGAGCAGGAGTGCGGAGCAAGGAAGTGGGAAATTAAACAAGAAAGGAGGAAAAGCCAATATAAAATGCATTATTTAAAAAATTTTTTTTCGCTTTTATTATTTTTAATTGACACATGATAATTGTATATATTTCAATAAATGTATACAATGTGTAATGATCAAATCAGGGTAATTAGCACATTCGTCACCTCAAACATTTATCGTTTCTTTGTGCTGCGCACATTCAAAATTTGCTCTTCTAGCTATTTGGAAATGCACAATAATAAATCGTGGTT